ACATTTTTTTTTCAAGGGTCAGAGAGGCCTGAGGTGTGAATTGGTCATTACAATGTGTGACAAGCTTGGTAGGAATATCCTGTGTTCAGTGTTTTGTCCATCTGAGTACCTTAAAAACGCTTTGGATGCATTTTTCATGATGAAAAAAGGCTCTGGACAGCATCGGGAACTAGAAGAGTTAAAAAAAAATTCAGATGCAAACGCTTAAAAACGCGATTTGCCACGTTTAGCCGCATTTACAAGCGTTTTGCATTTGAAACACTGATAAAAATCAACTACTGAATGCAAATTTTCTGCGTTCAAAAAAACGACTGTACACTCAAATGCCTGTAAACAAAAATGTGTACATGGACACAGGAAAACATTAGGGTGAGTTCAGGGGTGGCTGAAAAGAACACTGAACAGCTCCTAAACCTGAGTTTATCAGCTGCAGTGTACATGAGCCCTTAGTCAGAGAGCAGAGGAGAGCAAGAGGAAAGAGAGAGGGAACGAGAGAGAGAGAGAAAGGAAAAAAAAAAGGGGGGGGGGGGGACCATGGGATTGTTGGGTAGAAGCAAATTAGTCCACTCCTGTTTCCAGGAGAGACTTCCCCTCGTCCGAGTAAACAAACCAGTTCCACAAAGTCCATGTTTTAGAGTAGACTTCTCGCCTATGCTGATGCGTAAGCCTCAAGTCCTCCATATGGTTTATTTCCTCAACTTTACGTAACCAGAGCCCCAGTAAGGGAGGACGTGGCTTCTGCCAGCACTTATTCTTTTTTATATGTATTTTGCGTTTATGTATCTGAACTCTTAGTGCTGGCAGCTTTCACTGTGTTTTTTACCTAAGCGAAGTGTTTTTTCCTTTTTTATAAAGTCAGAACTTCTGCATACTTGACCCAGGTGATCAAAGCCTACAGATGAGCATGACACCAAGAAACCATCATTTTCAGGTGAGATCAGTATTGATAGCTTCCGTATTTTTCCCAACAGAGATTTGCTTTGCAGGTTGATATTTGAATTGTTGCTTTTTATTATTACGTTAATAAAAACTTTCTCAACTTATTGGAACATGTTATTAAGCCAGTAAAAAAAGACTATAGAAAGGCCCACCCTCTCCTTTCTGTTGGCTGAGATTGCTGGACATAGCCCAGCCACTAATAAAAGCCTCACTCTGGTGGTCCTGGTCCAGCTGCAATGCTCACACTAAGCAGAGTTTATTAAAACTTTCTGCTTGCACTTATGAACTTTCCCCTTTTAATCTCAATGAACTCTAAATGCCAGCATATTCCACAGGGCAGGATGCAATAAGCTTACAACAAACTAATGTCATCTAAAACGCAAGCTTGTAGCCAGATTCAACTGTTGTGTGGCAAAACAGTGGAATGTTAAAGCCATGAGTATGACAAAAAGCCTATTGTGACAATATACTTGATAGCAGCAGCAGAAAAAATGCACAATGACCCTGTTGTTGTACGTTTGGAACCAGTATAGCGTGTCGATCTGGCGATGAAAGGGTGAGGATCCTTCTGTTATTCCAGAACAAACTATTAAAATGCATCCCATGTGAGGGAAACCTAAGTCTCCGTGGCAGGAAGCCAACAGAGAGCGCTCCCCCTCTAATGAAACCCAACTCTGGCCTTCAGGGACCTGCCTAGTATAGCTTGGCATCCCCCACCTCTGTACTTGTTGCTGCACACCAGCTGCACACTCACAATGACATTGGTGTGACTGGGCCTACACCAGTGACAATGACATCATAGCTTTACCCAGCCAACCTATAACACTGCAGAGATAAAATGGGAAGTGGTGCCGGCAGAAGATTTAACCCTTTAGGCAACAGATTAGCAAGAAAACAAGGCTCACGCCAGGAAATGTTAACATCCACACTGGACTTTTTAAACATAGATCAAAGTTCCTTTCAACATGCAGGAAGCATATTCAGATTACAGTGCTAAATCACTCTGCTGAAATCGGACACTAAGCACTTTTCCTGTACCAGAGAATGAAGTTTGATCATGGTTCCTGCCAAACAGCTTATCCTTTATCCTTCCATGTGTTCTTGGCAACAAAGGGTTACATTTCCCTATTAACCTGTAGCCTGTGGCTTCCAGGGAAATGGAAAACAAGCAGAGTTTGAAATAATGATGTTTGTTTGTTGTTCTGGTAGATTATTCAGTCAATGCCTGCTCAGTAATTACACTTCCTAACCATTTGTTTTTATAAGCTACTAACAACTGCACAGGCCTTCTTTATTAGTGCGAGTCTCCTTATGACCATGCATGGAGTGCAGAAAGAGAGCACCTGGAAGAACGGGAGCAAGTAGAGTGTGGCCTAGAGCTTGGCCCAGCAAAGTAGAAATGTAGACCCACCTTGCCGTCCGGGGAACAGAGCATTTTATGATGCCCCAGATGGACCATTCTCTGTAAAATGTACAGGCCTGCTGGCAGGGTTACTGGCAGTGCACCTGCACTGGGACTTGGAGAATCAAAGGCTCTTTGTGTCAAGTGATTACTTACTTGTTTCTACCAAAGGAGGTCTATTGCAGTGTTTCTCAACTCTTTTTCAGTCTGGACACCCTTTAAAATTATGCACAGTCTCGAGGCACCCCATTCTAAAATTTAAAAAACTAAATAAATTGTTTTACATAACGCAGCAACATCCACACACATAGGACACCCAACATTAGAGGTGGTTTATTCTTCCAAAGGAAATACACCTTCACAAACTGGTACTCCAACATTTCTTTTGTACCTCAGTTCCACTCCTTCACTCGGCTAATGTGACCCCAGTGCTAAAGGAGATGGGCAGGGGAAGGGCAAAGACGGATGCTGTGCACGTAACGGACATTCTCCTTATCAACAGAGAATGTAATCAGTTGTTAGGATGCCGGTGGCTGGTAGGTTGTGATGCTGCACTACGAAAACCTGTGGCTTTGTGTAACTTGACCCACCCACTGGTTTGTATACAATTTTGGGGCAATTTTTAGGCATTCTGCCAAGGCACCCTAAAGAAACCTGAAGGCACCACAGAGTGCTTGGGTACCTTGGTTGAAAAAGGCTGGTTTATTGTCAATCTGATATTTGTTCTGTCACTGTCTGGTAGCACACTACTTTCATTTCATCTGCCAATCCCTAAAAATTGTGCCCCACCAAGTTAAAGCAAAACTTTAAGTTGCTAGCTTTAGTAAATAGATAGGAAAGTATATCGTATTTACTTGTTTAAAAAACCTTTTTTTTTTACATTTCTTCAGTTATTTCCAGGTTTCTATGCATAGGCAAATTATATCATACATCCCAGGAGTCTTCAGGAAGGGAGGAGGGGTTTTCTCAGCTAAGCACACCCTCCTGCCTGTATATTTGAGCTAAGGGCAGATGGAAGTAAATGCTACATGAATCCAGGAAGTAAATGCTACATGAATCATCTGCCCTTACTCAAGATGACCACAACCAGAAATGCTAGAGGCTGATTTTCAAAGTGATTTTTCAGCAAAATAAAACATGAATGAATTAAAATACAAAAATAAAACATGTATGGATGGGGGAGTTTGCTTTGAATAGTAATAATGAATTAAATAGCATTTTTGATTTGTGGTGCTCAGAAGCAGTATAGTTCTGCTTTAAACTCTGCTGAGAGGACAATCAGATACTGTACATCAGGATGTAACGGATGTCCATTTTATTCGGTGTTTATTATAGCCCTAAAAAGTCCAAAAAAGTCCAATATCTCTGCTTAGAAAGTCAATATTTTATTTCATGGACAGTTGATCTTAGTTCTTTCTACATAATATCTGCTGTTATAATAGGGTAAGAGGTGCAGCAGCTTTCAATTGAATTACTAGACAAAAAAGCCAACTGGTAGAAGAAAACACCTGTTCCCATGGCTACTTTTTTTTACTTTCAATAGGTTATGAGGATCAGATAAGGGAGTTGGAAAACTAATGTAAAGATTTGATGTAAAATAATTCCCTCTGGGTGTACTATATAGACTGCAATAATTGTATTATTATTGAAAACTCTGCCAGCACTTTCATCACACCAACTGGTAAGTTGAAGGATTTGCCTTCATAATAGCCACCTCTGTGTTAGGATACGCAAACAACTGCCCAAAACTCCGTATTCTGTTTGCAAGGTCTATCCACACAAAAAATAAAAAACAGTGAGACAAGCACATAAATTGAATTTCTTGGGTTTTTCTGTACAGAACTACCCCAGGGTGCAAATAAATGTAATTTTCAATTTTCAATTTTTAAATATAGCTAGCTGCACCTGTAGATTGATATTACTAGGTGTTAAAACATAAAAACAAGAAGTAAGTAAAACTGACACAAAACATATATATATATATATATATATATATATATATATACATATATATATATATATACATATACATACATACATACATACACACACACACACACACACATACACTATATTGCCAAAAGTATTGGGAAAACTGCCTTTACACACATGAGCTTTAATGGCATCCCAGTCTTAGTCCGCAGGGTTCAATATTGAGTTGGCCCACCCTTTACAGCTAAAACAGCTTCAACTCTTCTGGGAAGGCTGTCCACAAGGTTTAGGAGTGTGTCTATGGGAATGTTTGACCATTCTTATAGAAGTGCATTTGTGAGGTCAGGCACTGATGTCGGACGAGAGGGCCTGGCTCACAGTCTCCTCTCGAATTCATCACAAAGGCATTCTATTGGGTTGAGATCAGGACTCTATGCAGGCCAGTCAAGTTCCTCCACCCCAGACTCACTCATCCATGTCTTTATGAACCTTGCTTTGTGCACTGGTGTGCAGTCATGTTGGAACAGGAAGGGGCCATCCCGAAACTCTTCCCACAAAGTTGAGAGCATGAAATTGTCCAAAATGTCTTGGTATTCTGATGCCTTAAGAGCTCCCTTCACTGGAACTAAGGGCCAAGCGCAAACCCTGAAAAACAACCCCACACGTCCATCAGATTGCCAGACAGAGAAGTATGATTTGTCACTCCAGAGAAAATGTCTCCACTGCTCTAGAGTCCAGTGGTGGCATGCTTTATGCCACTGCATCCGACGCTTTGCACTGCAATTGCTGATATAAGGCTTGGATGCAACTGCTCAACCATGGAAACCCATTCCATGAAGCTCTCTACACACTGTTGTTATTCTGAAGGCCGCACAAAGTTTGGGGTCTTTAGCTATTGACTCTGCAGACAGCTGGCGACTTCTGCGCACTGTGTGCTTCAGCATGCACTGACCCCACTTTGTCATTTTACGTGACCTACCACTTTGTGGCTGAGTAGCTGTTCCCAGTTGCTTCCACTTTGTTATAATACCACTAAGAGTTGACCGTGGAATATTTAGCAGCAAGGAAATTTCACGGATGGACTTATTGCACAGGTGGCAACCTATCACGGTGCCACGCTTAAATTCAATGAGCTCCTGAGAGCGACCCATTCTTTCACAAATGTTTGTAGAAGCAGTCTGCATGCCTAGGTGCTTGATTGTACACACCTGTGGCCATGGAGGTGACCGGAACACCTGAATCCAATGATTTGGAGGGGTGTCCCAATAATTTTGGCAATATAGTGTATATGCACAAATACATACTCACACAATTTGTTCTACAAGTATTAAATAGAAAAGGATCCACTGAGTACTATGGATTAACTAAAGAGACGGGACAAGAAACAAAACCTGCTTGAAATTGTATAGCTTGATTAAATCCATAAATCACTTCAACTTTTCAGCATGAGCTATTAAGCTCTGTAAACCACAGGTGATATACATCAAAGACGCCTCTAAGAAGCAAACAGAGAGCCTACCACACATGTAAAAGAGCCTAAAGCTTTGCCTGATGGCTTATAAGAATACAAAATATTAATATTCAATACTTCATATTATATTGAAGAAATTAAACCTTTTATTTTGTTTATACCTTGACCATAATAAAGAAAAACATTTGTACAAAACTACTACACATTCAATTTAAATTAAACCTATCATGAAAATAATATAATGCCTGCCACTTCTGGACACTCCTCTTCAAAATAATTGTTGCCTGGCTGTTATGCTGACTGCCTTGCTTTTATAGTAAACATCCCTCACAAGGGGCATTAAGTAGATGAGGATGTCTGACTTTTATACAACTTTCTTGATCTGGATACTCATTCCATGTTAATTATTCAGAAACAAAAACAGTGGATAACAAAATAACAGCCAGCCAACTCAAATTTTCAGGATTATGTCAACAATGGCAGCTTCCACTTTTACAGAAAAAAAATTGCTATAATGCTGCTCAGTAGAGCAATTTTAACAAGCTAATTTTTCTGTAACTCAATTTACTGTTCATTTCCTGTTCCTCAATTTGTCATATTTGGTGGCACTGTTCTGTATTCCCTTTTGTGAATATTCAGTTTTTTGCCCAAAGCCAGTACTATTTCATCTAACAAGTGCCAATATATAAATAACATTTCAAACATGTTGCATAAAGATTGTGGGAATGACTTTACCCTTGCAATGCTTTTTATTCTGCAGACATTATATGCCCTATTAATGAACACATTTTTTCTGCAGCAATGAGTTCTAATTACATTCATTTTTTACCTACTCTCTACACAAGCAAAGCAGAGTATAATAATTACAGCGCACAGCAAGGTTCTGTTATAGGACCTCCATATGGGACAACATTTAAATTTGGATGGAAAATGCAATTATCCCTTGGAGTCGATAGGCAGCTGAGCACTATGATATGATCTGGAAATACCATTACTCGCTTTTTCTTGCAGCAGTTAAATTTACCCAAAGAAAGCTTAACTACAGTACTTAAATTCCCATTATGCAGGCTGGTGGCAGGGAGCTGTTAAAAGTCTGTAACTTACGCATCCTTTAGGAAGAAAAAGATCTGTGCAGGATTTAAAAAAAAAAAAAAAAAGGACTATATTACACAGACCACCAGGGATGCAAGGAAACACTGTCTACATTATAACTAGCAGTTAAGTTCAGAGTGTATCAAAATACACCAATCATGTGCAATCCAAATCTTTTTCAAACCAGAATTACGATTATGTTAGCTAACAAATGACCTTATATATGCACAATGGTACATCTCTATTTATAATGAATGTAAATATATGGTTGTGTCTCCCGATTACCTTTATATTAATGGAATGTTTATAAATCGAAGTCTTACAAACACAGAGAACCTGTTAAAGGAAACTTGTGCTCAGAGAAATAAACGATTTCAGTATTTTTCAAACAGGGTGCTGTCTGAGTTCCTCAAGGGTGGCGCGACATCCTGATTGAGAAAAGCGGTCAGAACCAGATTGAGCTCTCACTGCTCCGCTGCACTGTACATCCGCACAGCCAGAGTTCGATCAGGAAAGTGATGCGCAGAGCAATAGAAGGGGAGAAGTCTTCCCGAGTCCTGTCCTCTCCATATCCCCATACAGTGCACTACTGTGAAGTGCAGTACCCAGCAGTGAGGGTGCAGGTATAGTACTGAAGTTTTTAAAAGGGTGTGTGTGTGTGTACAGCCGTGGCCAAAAGTTTTGAGAATTACACAAATTTTAATTTTCACAAAGTTTGCTGCCTCAGTTTTTATGATGGCAATTTGCATATACTCCAGAATGTTATGAAGAGTGATCAGATGAATTGCAATTAATTGCAAAGTCCCTCTTTGCCATGAAAATGAACTTAATCCCCCCCCCCCAAAAAAAAAAAACGTCCACTGCATTTCAGCCCTGCCACAAAAGAACCAGCTGACATCATGTCACTGATTCTATCGTAAACACAGGTGTCAGTGTTGGCAAGAACAAGATTGGACATCACTCTGTCATGCTGATTGAGTTAGAATACCAGACTGGAAGCTTTAAAAAGGAGGGTAGTGCTTGAAATCATTGTTCTTCCTCTGTTAACCATGGTTACCTACAAGGAAACATGAGCAGTCATCATTGCTTTGCACAAAAAGGGATTCACAAGCAAGGATATTGCTGATATTAAGATTGCACCTAAATCAACCATTTATCAGAGCATCAAGAACTTCAAGGAGAGGTTCAATTGTTGTGAAGGCAGCTTCAGGGCACCCAAGAGAGTCCAGCAAATGCCAGGACCGTCTTCTAAAGTTGATTCAGTTGCGGGACCGGGGCATCACCAGTGCAGAGCTTGTTCAGGAATGGCAGCAGGCAGGTGTGAATGCATCTGCATGCACAGGAAGGCGAAGACTTTTGAAAGATGTCCTGGTGTCAAGAAGGAGAGCAAAAAAGCCACTTCTCTCCAGGAAAAATATCAGGGACAGACTGATATTCTGCAAAAGGACTGGGGTTAAGTAATTTTCTCTGATGAATCCCCTTTCCCACTGTTTGGGGCATCCAGAAGAAACCTTGTCTGTAGAAGAAAAGGTGAGCGCTACCATCAGTCCTGTGTCATGCCAACAGTAAAGTATCCTGAGACCATTCATGTATGAGATTTGCTTCTCAGCTGAGGGAGTGTGCTCACTCACAATTTTGCCTAAGAACATCCTCCGAGAGCAACTTCTCCCAACCATCCAAGAACAATTTGATGACCAACAATGCCTTTTCCAGCATGATGGAGCACCTTGCCATAGGGCAAAAGTGATATCTAAGTGGCTTGGGAAACAAAACATCTGACGTTTGGGCCAGGAAACTCCTCAGATCTTAATCCCATTGAGAACCTCAAGAGGTGGGTGAACAAAAAAAACCCACAAATTCTGACAAACTCCAAGCATTGATTATGCAAGAATGGGCTGGCATCAGTCAGGATGTAGCCCAGAAGTTGACTGACAGCATGCCAAAGCGAATTGCAGAGGTCTTGAAAAAGAAGGGTCAACACTGCAAATATTGACTCTTTGCATACACTTAATGTAATTGTCAATAAAAGCCTTGGATACTTATGAAATGTTTGTAAGTATACATCAGTATACCATAGTAACTTCATACAAAAAGATCTAAAAAACACTGAAGCAGCAGACTTTGGCCAGGGCTGTCACACACAGAAACACACATACACACAGTATACATATATATGTATGTGTGTGTGTTGTGTGTAAAAAAATGTTACATTTATTCTTAACCCCTAATCCTGTATGTTGAGAACTACTTTTTAAAGGCTCATTCATAATAGGGGCAAGGAGTGCCGGTCCTCTGAGTATATGCCCTGTCATGGCAACAACATGTGTACGGCCCTGGCTGCCACCTCTGCAGCTAAAGGGGGAGCAGTTGGTTTGGTGGTTAAAATGTGGGCCGACCACATGGTTTTACCATTCCACAACCTCACAAGTAAATGAGCCCTTGGTTCACATTTGTACGGCTGCGTGTAGGGCAGCCCGTTAATTTCAATAGGCTGCCCCACCTACAGAAACGCAAGGAAAGCAGTTCTCTCTACTCTTCTGGGAAGAATTTTCACAAGTTTATGGAGCATGTCCATTTAATGCCTATTTAGTCCAAAGAGCTTTTTGTGAGGTGAGGTTAGATACTGATGTTGAACAAGAGGATCTGCCTTGCAGTCAATGCCCCAATTCATCCCAAAGTTGTTCAACGGAGTTAAGGTCAACGCTCTGCGCAGGCTGCTCAAGTTCCTCCGCGCATCCCTTACCGAACCTTTTCTCTATGAACCTGGCTTCTTGGACAGGGTACAGCCATGCTGTTGTCACAAGGTTGGAAGTGCATAGTTGTCTTACATGTCTTTGATTGCTGCACATACTTTGAGACATTTATTGTATTTAGACTGTCATTGTTGACCTACTTCTGAAAATGCTAGATATCCAGCTGTCTCAGGCTTTACAAATTTGGATCACAAACCCAGAAAAACATGCAGGCATTGTAGCCAGAACTCCTAATGTGTTCTTGTTCTTAGTCAATGACTCAACAGGGCTGATTTACTAAAGACAAATAGACTGTTCCCTTTGCAAGAGAAGTTGTACTTTGCAAGGGAATTTTCCCCAGAGCTTCGTGAATTTGCTGACTTAACATCCAATCATGTGCAAACAATTTTTTTTTCCTTTTCATCTTCCTTTTATATGATTGGGTATACTTTGGAAAGTGAAGTCTCACCATGTTTATGCTTACCAGAATGCGGATACTAAATATCCTTTGTGGTCTGAATTTGCAAAGAATATTTGCAGGACACATAGTGAGGAATAGTGCAATGAACAAGTTAAAAAGGGTACTAGAGCACAGGGTTACAGCTTAAAAAGGATCATGTCACAATATTGATACAGTATGCAAGCGGTCATTGCCGAGTTGTGTTTAAAGGTGGAACCTCCAGACCAGTCATCCTGATTATTTGGTGACTACCTTTTAAGTCTCTGGCTTTGAACACATTTTAACTTTTTTTTTGCAAAATAAAGATTTTAAACCAATATTTAAAAATATTTA